TTTTTTTTTTTTTTTTTTTTTTTTTTCAGGTCCGGACATTTTTGCACCCCGGCGACCGGTCCGGACTGTCTGGTTATCCGGACATCACTGGACACCAGACAGTCCGGACCGGTCCAGACATTGGTCCAGAAGACAGTCCGGAAGTGTCCAGTGTCCAGGCCGGGGTTACCATGATTAATCCTTCATCTTTTTAATTTGTGTTCAGGCGGTTCAAGTCTGATTCTGTCGTGGAACTCCACAGCATTTCCCATAATTTATTTCTATTTGTAATTATTATTTTAAAAAGAAAATCTGGTCTCTATACTTGTCGTGCAATCATTTCAATCAGTAATTTAGGTTTTCTCCCTTTAGTCTCTTGAATTATTCTTCTAAATGGGTAGGTTGGTCGGAAGGGGGGGTGAGCTCTGCTCTGCAGGGGCTGCACAAGGTGGGTAGTGATGCCCTGAAGGGGGTATGAGCAGATTTGTGGGGAATAGTGTAGTCTGGGCCTGAGGGGAGATTTCAAACCTCAGCGGGGGCAGATTAGGGTAAGGGGCAAGCAGAGGCATTTTTTGGGGGGGAACTGAATGCCTCTGGGGGATTGGAGAGGGTGTGGGGCTGTTCTTAGCTGGGGCCGATAAGAAACGTCTGTGATAAGGATATTCTTTTTTCGGCGGAGGCAGCGACGGGACAGGGGGAAAGGGGAGGTGGGTGGGGATTTTCATTGCTCAATTGTGATATCCAAGGGAAAAAAAGAAATTAATCAATCATGTTATATCCAATTTTTCTGGTGTTCTGTAATTCTTGGCGGCACTTGGCCTTCTTCCTCATTCGGGATATAGGATTTAAGAGATGGTTGAATCCGGACTGATATCTACGTATTTGCTTTGTTCTGTGCCCCTGGTATGCAAATGCCAGAACGACGCTGGCCGGAGCTGGGGCGTTGCCCTGTAACCTGCATGACAGGAGTGTGAGGCCTTGTAGAGAGATCTGGGATTAGTCGAGGGAGGAAGACAATCCAGTGGTGAACTTCGGTGTGCTACCAGGACAACCTATGGGTACAGGTTTAGTCTGGTTGGCTAGAACAGGATAGCTAAGGTTGATGTTGGCTAGGATGACATTGTCTCTGAGATGTAAGGCCATATTTGCTGATATAGCATAGAGTTCTAATTTTTTTCACATACTCATCACCATCATCATTAGCATCATCATCATTAGTATCATTATCTCACATTTCTCATACAAATCATTAGAAGTTCATTATCATCATCAGCAGCAGCAGCAGCATAATCATCATCATATGAGGGACACTGAGCCCATTTCTCAGCTTGTTCGGTTCGGTTTCTCTGGGTAGACTGTGAGGACCCCGGCCTCAATCTTCTTATTGGTAATATCAGCCTTGGGCACTGGGCCCGGTTTGTTAAAAAAAAAAAGAAAAAAAAAAAGAATACCCGGACTCCTGAATTACTACGCTTTGGCGGGCAATCGATCATCATTATGGTCACTAGTTCACTTAATGAAGGAATCTTGTGCATTAACCTTAGCGCTTGCTAAAATATCGCACTAAGTTCAAAAGAAGCACGCTGAAGAAATTTGGTCCACAGTTTCAATGTGCTGAGATGGGAAGAAGACTACAATGATAAAATCAGTATGCCGGAGATCGCCCATCTCATCCCTCCGACTAATTTCCGTTAGGGCAGGGAACAGGGCGTTGTCCCTGGCCTCAATTTTCTCAAATATCAATATCAGCCTTGGGCACTGGACCCCCTAAAAAAGAAAAAAAAAAGGGTGTTGTGAATTAATAGGCCAATGACAGATATGTTTTACAGATGGATTGTCAGTGGGGAGTCAGTACATACCAGACCGAACTGATACCGTAGCATCATGGAAACGGAGCGGATGAGCCCAAATGGGTTCACTGTGCCTGTGAATCTGCTTCCAAGCTCCCCTGGGAACCTGCAGAACAAAGCCCCCCATCACACAGACCACCATCACAGCCCCACCCCAGCACCCCCCCACACAAACAGTAAACTGCATTGAGTACAAAGTACTACAAAAAACGTAATCTCATTGATCAAGAGTGTAATTTCATTAATTACCAGTCCCCAACTTGGCTTTCCTTCAACAAAGCTTGATCATTTGAAACCCACCCTGTGAATCTCTCTCTCTCTCTCTCTCTCTCTCTCTCTCTCTCTCTCTCTCTCTCTCTCTCTCTCTCTCTCTCTCTCTCTCTCTCTCTCTCTCTCTCTCTCTCTCTCTCTCTCTCTGTGTGTGTGTGTGTGTGTGTGTGTGTGTGTGTGTGTGTGTGTGTGTGTGTCTCACACAGACACACACACACACGATGGAATGGGAGAGAGAATTTGGGGGGTTTTAGAAAACACACATTCCGGTCTTGCTAGCTCTCTGTTCCTGCAGATTTGACCTGTTAGGATCGGGTTCGTACTAGCAAGCCATTCTTTTTTGTGGTTGGATATGTCTTGTTGTTTTGTTTATTATACATGTCCTAATTTTTTGCCCTGCTTTAGAGCATGTTTTTTCTTTGAAGGAATGTCTGTGGGTGGGCAAGAGTTTTTTGGTGTGGGAATGTATGCTTGGAGTTCTGGCCACAGTATCTTCGTGAGGAGGCTCAGAGAGAGTTTGCTGTGGGTGTCATTCCCATGGGCTGCTCTTTTGCGGCACATGGAAGAAATGGGGACTTCCAGCCTTCCAGGGTGTTTTAAGCAGTAGTGCTCCTGATGTCGCGTGAAGATCTTGTGGTCTTTGGGATTATGGTACTCTGTACACTCCAGAGGCTAGATAGCGGATGAAGAATGTCTAGCCATGCAGTGAAAGAGATGGCGGTGACGTGAGTGGGTCATTTGGGAGGAAAAGCAGTGCCAGTGCTGTTGTGGTTGTGGGCCGACTCGGAGGGCTCTCCGAAAAGATATCATCTTTGAAGTTTGCACTGACTGGCCCCAGGTACATTCAGAGTTACGTTTACTACCATCTGGATTCCAACTCAGGTCTCTATTTCAATTTTCAACAGTTCATTGGTGTACCAAGTGAGCTAGGTCAGTTGGTTTGTCGCCCTAAATCTGCTTCAGCCTTCAGGCAGCTACTATCATATTAGTGGCTGGGTGCCCTCCTACGCTATGCTCAGCTGCTGCCATAATGAGAGGGCGTTCTCTTTTCTCTTCTCCTTTTGGTCTCCAGCTGGGCTCCCAACTTGCTCACATACTGTATACTTAAGTTAGAAAGAGAAACAACTTGGAGAGTGGTCCGGTGAAGGAGGGGCGCAGCGCTACCGGGAGCGCTGCGCCCCGGCAGCATCAATCAAGGTCACCACGGAGAGGAGCCGCGCGCGTCGGATAACAGCATGCAACAAGGAAAATAGCGCGCGCGCGCTCAAGGATTGCGCGCGCTTGGGCGCGCACCCTGAGCTGAAACTTGGACCACCTGTGGTCTACGTTGTGGAGCTGAGGTGGTCCAAATTTCAGACCGAACGGTCCAGCGGATCACGAGATATCGAAGTTTTAGGGCGCGCCATGGAATTCGAGCGTGTGGACCCTTCTCCTTTCGCCATCCTTTTTTTTCCTTTCTGCACGTGTTTGCTGATTAAGGCGCCACAAGGAGAGCGGCTGGAGATGATGGCATAGGATGCATGGTCTCCTCTGTCTACTTTCATCTGCCCTGCGAAGCGGTGGACTCAAGTCTCTGCGGTAAGCTTGAACTCCCTGGGGTAGCTCGTTGGCAGGCTCAACGAGATGTTGCCCCACCATCCCGATGTTGGAGAAGTTTAGGGGGATGGCCGATTGGTACCTTCGTTTGCCTGTGTTGGTGTTATGGCAGGCCCTTGAGGCCGGTAGTGCAGGTTGGGGTACTGGGGAGGGAGGAAGTGCCGAGGGAGGAAGGCACTTCCTATCCGACAGAACTAGGTTGGTCGGTACTGGGGAAGGTTGCGGTGCCCTGTTACCCATGCAGAAGGGGGTATGAGACCAAGTGTGCTCTGGTTCGAGGACCGAAAGTCGAGACCGACGGCTCCTTTGTTGAGCGGGGGACTTTAGGATGGTTGGTATTTAGTTTTGACCTCCCCCCCCTTCTTTTTTTCTTTTTACAGATGGCTGTTCGGGGGTCTTAAGAATGCTTTTGGGCTCTCGGGATCCCTAGCAACTTTTCTCAGGTGGTTTTTGATGCTGTTATACTCAGGGACCTGTGGCTGCTCGATGCCAGAACGACGCTGGCCGGAGCTGGGGTGTTACCCTGTGACCTGTGATGCAGGAGCATGAGGCCTGGTAGAGAGATCGGGGGATGCTTAGGGGTGGGCATCCTACGGAACAGCTAAGGGTTGCTGCTGGGACGACGCTGGTCGGAGCTGGGGTGAGTTGTGTCACCCTGTAACCTAGCAGGATGTGGGGTGTGAGACCTGGAAGAGCTCGGCAGGGAGTAGGACAGTGTTGAAAGGCCTCGGAAGGAGCATTAGGGATTCCAAGGGTTTCTGAGCATTTCTAGGACCCGCCAGGCCTTTTTTATGTTTTCAAATTACGAATCTTTACGTAGTTAAATCCAATTCTCAAAAAAAGGGGGTAGTCTGTTCTGTCCTTAAACAGTCTTCTGGATCCTGGGGTTTCCTGGCAATCTCTTCTAGGTAGTTTCAAGGCTGTAATACTCGGTGACCTAAGGCTGTTCGACGCCAGAACGACGCTGGCCGGTGCTGGGGTGTTGCCCTGTAACCTGTTGATGCAGGGGCATGAGGCCTGGTAGAGAGATCTGGGGGTGCTTTGGGGGGGGCGTCCCACGGGACAACCAAGGGTTGCTGCTGAGACGACGCTGGCCGGAGCTGTGGTGAGTTGTGTTGCCCTGTAACCCAGCAGGATGGGGGGTGTGAGGCCTAGAAGCTCGGCAGGGAATACGACAGTGTTGGAGATCCTTGGAAGGATCTGTTAGGGATTTTGCAGGATTGGGGGCTTTTTTAGGACTTTTGCAGTCTATTCCCGTACCTTTTCTGAGTAACGGGAAGGTAAGGGATCGAGAGAGAAAGGTATCACGCATCCTGCTAGTGAAGGGGCTAGCTGGTAGGACAGAAATAGGGCATAGCAGCAGTAGAGATGGTGGCTTTGCTGCAGTAAGTCTTGCCGGAGTGGGGTGAGGAGGACTGTTGGTGGATTCCCGAGTCTTCTTCTGGTTTTTGTTTATCTCTGAATGTTCCTTACAAAAAAGCTCTGAAGTAGCCTCAGTATACCATTAGTTTCATTGTCATTAAATTTTCTGATGGTTTTTCTGAACGTACTCAAGGGACGCTGGGCCCGGTTCCCAGCTCGTGCCAATTTGAGAGGATATGGTTGTATCTATGGGACGCTGGACCCGGTTTCCAGCAGGTGCTGCTCCCCACCAATAGATGGAGCGCGTGTGCTTAAAAAAAAAAAAACAGATTGATGAATTGCAGTTTTGACGTTTTCTCTTTCTTCTAAAGTATGCTCCTCCTCCTCTACCATCAGTCAGCCTTTACTCACCGCTTCTTACGTCTTTGGCTCTACCCTCATCCGTGTCCACCAGACTCCACCTCTTCTTCTTTTTTCTTTTTTCTTTTTTCTTTTTTTTTCCTCCCCCCCCCCCAGTCCGTGTCAACCTCTAAGGGGAATTTTCATTCGAGCAAGCCCGATCGTTTCTCAACCCTCTCCACTACCTTGCTCCTTCCCCCTCCCTCCCCATGCACACACAACCAACAACCCCCCCTCACGTCATCCTCTCTGGAGTTTCAAGTTTTTTGTCGATCTCCTGCCCACTCTGGAGTCTGGACTTCTCCATGGTGTCGTGGCCTATTACTGTCATGTAGCAGACCCGAAGCGCCAACGCATAGCTAGATTGTCATATATACTTTGCCATTCTTTGGCTATAGTGAATGCTGCCAACTTTCAAGCTTCAGTGGTGCGCTAAGGTCTTTCCATAGCAGGCAAGGACCTGNCATATATACTTTGCCATTCTTTGGCTATAGTGAATGCTGCCAACTTTCAAGCTTCAGTGGTGCGCTAAGGTCTTTCCATAGCAGGCAAGGACCTGTAGAAAATGTTCTCCCTCTGGATGGATTCCCTCTTGGCCCGTGTTTCCTCCCTCCCGTATGCATCTTCCCTCTCTTTCCATCAGACTGCGGGTCTGGTTTCTGACATTCTCTCTCATTCTTCCAGTGTGCTACCTATCACCCCTTCTTACATACTCCTCCCCCTTTCCCCCCCCCCCCCCCCCCCCCCCCCCCCCCCCCCCGAAAAAAATATGTCTTGTTGCATCTTTCGTGTCATCAGAAGTGCCAACCTGGCAGATTGCCAATTTGCTCATCATTTCCAGGAAATTCCAGCAGGCTTCCCCCAAATAGATAGATGCAGCATTAGGGAGGTAGAGGGTCGTAGCGGAAAATAGGAAACCCCCAAAAGCCATAAAAAAGGTTCAAATAAGAGTAAGAGTGCAATTGCTTATTCCTGGGATAATTTGCTCTCTTTGCACTACCGCCAAAAAAAAAAAGGGTGTGATAATATCTTTAAGAGTCTTAAGAGAAAATGGTACTGGGGAAACAGGGTGATTGCTCTGTCCCTGCAATTTTTTTATTTTTTTTTGGGAGGGGGTGGGCATCCTTGCACAGGGGCCATGCTAACCCCCTTCTTTGTATCGTTCCTGTTTTTTTCCCTTCCCTAATACTCTAAAGCAAAACCCGGGTCTCGCGTGACGGTCCCGCGAGAGACCCGTTTCTCTGGTGTGGCACTTCGGGGGGAGGGGCGCGGTGGGCCCAGCGGCAGGTACCTGTCGGGACGCGGTTTCGGGGTTCGTCGTGTCGTTTCACACCGGCACACCGAGAGGCGGTTTCGGGGCGGGGGGATTTGTGCTTTCGGTCCCGTCGCGCGGGGCGCGGGGGACCAAGCAACGTTATCGGACGGTTGCTTTGCGGGGATCAACGGTGGCCGTGTGTGTGTGT